CCCCGAGCACCGCCAGGAGTGACCAGGAATAACGGTCACAAGCTGGCAGAGGGTAGGTTTAGGTTAGATATCAGGAGGTGCTACTTCACGGTCAGGGCGGCTAGGGTCTGGAACCAACTTCCAAGAGAAGTGCTGCAGGCTCCTACCCTGGGGCTTTTTAAGAGGAGGTCAGATGAACACCTTGCTGGGGTCGTTTGAGCCCAGTACTCTTTCCTGCCATGGCAGGGGGTCAGACTAGATGATCTGCTCAGGTCCCTTCTGACCCTAGAAACTATGAAACATGGGGGGGTTGAGTGGGGGGATATGCTTTACCAAAAGCAGTAGTGCATTACTTTGACCTGCAGGATCTGTATAGATCAGGTGCTTCAGCAAGGCTTTTTGGTGCTTTTATCTAACAGTTGATTCAACCAGCTATTAGATAAAAGTGCAAAAAAAGGCCCATTATACAGGCATTGAGAAAGCCGGGTGCAACTACCACAATGACTCCTGGTCATGCACTGGGCTTGGTACAGGAGCGTAGCAAATTTAAAGTAAAGCACTGTTTTGGGGGTGTTTTTTCCACATCTGCAAGCAGTGCCTAGGACTAAGTTCTTAATTATGATTAGGGGCTCCTGGACTGTACTAGTATCTGCATGGGGAAACTCCTGAGTCCACATGAACTCCAAGGAAGTTCATGATTAGGAATCTCTTTGAAACATTCATTTCAGCTCAGGCAGTACCTTGTGGACTTCCCACTAGAAACAGCAGTGGTTCTCAACCTCATTAGAGTCAAGGTACCCCTCTTAGGTTTTCACTTGTTTTTTGGCTATGGAAAAGTAATAGAACAATTCTTCTGTTGCAAAGAAATTGGAAAGACCACAAGAGGTCAGAATGATTTTAAAGCTATTGATTCCTATTTGAAATCTCTGGTCTATATCTCATGAATCATGTTAGCACTGTTGGGTACACAAATATTGTGCGACTCCTGAGGCACCCTTGAAAGGGTCTTAAGGCACCCTGGTTGAGAATCAGATTTAAAGACTATAGTCAGGATTGACTATAGTCAGGATTGCTTCATTACATTAGGCTCTGTACAGGAGAGAAGCAACCATAGTCCTGGTTTTGTCCGTCTTGTTCGAACTTGGTATTTGTTTGCTTGTTTTTAACTCCTTTGCCTATTTATTTTAAAGATAGCAGAGCCTAGATTTAAAAATACTGTACAATTGTCACCAAAGGTGTTGCTAAAATATATATTCCTATAATTGTATTAGGTCTCACTGGACTCTAATTCTCCATGTGGCTTTTTTTGTTGGACCTGGTGTTCTTGGAGTGGTTATGAAATTACAGCCTACAACAGCGCTTTCCAGCCCAAAAAATAGTAACCACTAACCTAAAGACTTGTTGGTTTAACTGTTTCTTTGTCCAATGAGACGCCTTCACTGAGCCATAAAGCAACAGATGCTCTTGCACAGTTAACATGTCAAACAGTACATCGTGCTGTGGACAAACACCAATTTCCAGTCTGACAGCAGGCAGATGAGTACGCATGTCCCTTCCATTGATGATAATGGTACCAGAACTGGGTGGGGACAGGCCTGTCAACATTGATCTGATACAAGAAAAAAGAGAAATTCAGAAGCACACACCCCATGTTCAAGCCATACTGTATGTTGTATCCTGAATTTCAGTGATTCATTTATTTCAGCAATTCTTATTTAAGAGCCGCATCATATAAATAACTGTCCTTGAGTTCCTGAGCCCGGTACTCTGTTCATGTAGATCAAAGTACTTCTATTAGCTACTTTCACACAAAACTGACTTGTGCCAGGAGATATCTGCCCATTTATAATTACAGAAAAGTTGCTAATAACCATTTTTTCCCTAATTAACCCAGATTTCAATCATCTCTCCTCTTCCTTGCTGCTTCCAAAACCAGGGTCATTTTCTTAGCAAAAGTAAGCATTCAATTGAATTATGTTTAAATAAGAAATATATTTAAAGTTTAACAGTAAGCAAATGATCAGATACAACGCCTAACTTTATAGGGACTCAATGTTGAATCCCTTACTCAAGTTAATCAAGTTGATTTAATCTAGAGTCCAATTCATTCTTATTAGTAATTTATGTACCTGTGGAAGCTTAGGGGGGGAAATGGTCAGAATTCTTGATATTTCAATTAACAGAAAGGGCAGAAATAAATTAACTTTTTAATTAAATCCCATTTTTAAAAATGATTTTCATTTTGTTATTTCTGCTTCCCTCCATTTGTCAAAATACCATCTTCAACATCCAAGAGCAAAGCCTGCAAACCCAGAAAGCCTCCAAGCTCTTCATCTGGTAGGCACAAAGGTGCAATGCTGTGCAAGAAGATTTCCCAGAGGTCACTATGCACCTCTACATAAGAACCAACTTCCATATTTACTTCCACCCTTCCCCTTTACAACATCTACCACCACAACTGCTTAAAAAAGAGTTGCTCTGTTAAGGAAGCTCTGTTCAAGGGGGCCCACTTTTCCAGAGCAATGCACTGGTTTTGCCATGCACCAAGGCAAACCCAGTCCAGTTAAGCCATGTCAGTTATACCTTTTGAGTCCTTTACACCTTAAAAACGTGTAATAATAATAAGTTAATAAGCCTAGCGTTCATTTGCTGTCTTACAAACACATTTTAGAGCACCAAATAAGTGGAAAAAACTGTAACAGCTCATTGTTAAACAATGGACATACATAACTGTTGTCTTGCCAGCTCCATTGGGCCCCAAGAGAGCTGTGATCTGATCTCTGTAGAAAGTGAGGCTTAGATCTTTAACTGCAGTCTTTCTGCTCTGTGTATATTCTTTGGTGAGTGAAATAAGTACTACGCCTTGAGATATTCCTTCTTCACTAGTGATTTTCTGCTCTTGAGGCATTGAACCTAGATAAGTGAAGAATCACAGACCACACAGGCTTTAGAAACTAGCATTTATAAAGTGACTATTCATTAGTTTTACTTTTCCTAACACGGTCATGGTTGCTATATATTAAAACTAGAGAATCCATTCCTCTGGTGGTGTCAATTAGCACAGCTCCACTAGAATAAAAAATGCTGTGTTGAATTTACATTGGTGAAGGGTCCATAGTTGTACTTACCATATTTATTTGATTCTAAGATGAGGGCTTCCCCCTATTTAACATGGGGTGGAAGGACCCTCATCTTAGAATTAAATATGAGGGGGTGGGGGGCAGAGGGCACATGGCTGCTATGGCTCTCGCTCTGGCCCCTACCTGGGGTCAGGACCATCGCTGCAGCAGCTTCAAGTTAATTGAACCTTGATAACTTTTGGAAAACTGCCTTGCTAACAGAGGTACCAAAATACATCAGCCCTGAATAGCTGGTCCTTCTCACCTCTCCTATAGAGGGCTAAGCCATTTCAGAGATACTAATTTTCAGAGCTCACAGAGGAGTTTCCAAGGCACAGGAGTAGATATGGGTGGCATGTATGTGTCTTTACCTGAAAATCTTTAATGAAAAGAAACACAAGAGAAAGTTGTGAAATGGGCCTTAGAGGAAAGAAAATAAATCTGATTTTAAGCAGCAGAACATGTAGGGAATTGATAAGCAGCCAAGCACAGAGCTGGAAATCAGCAGTGAAAATGGTTGTAGGCAGCAGCAGTGAAAAATAGAGGCGATAACAGTCTGTTATTGAAATACAAGGCTAGAAAACAGTCTGAAAGGGCAGCATTTAGAAAATACGGGAAAATAAAAAGAAAACTCCCAAAACCCCATATAAAAAGCCTTTCATGGAAGCAACACACAGATAACATCAGACTTTTTGTGATGAAATCAAAGTGCAGAGAAACTGAGTTTGACCATATGCTTTAATGAGCATAAAATTGTTCAGACTATGCAGCAAACACTATAGAATAGACTGAGAAACTTCAGGGTGCCAAACAAAGGTAGATGGATTGGCAGCAAAATGGCCCACAAAATTCTATATTGTCAAGTGCACATTTAAACTACTTGTCCATAGCAAGGGGTTCTAGTCAAACTGCACCCACTCAGACATCACTGTAGGTAACTCAGTGAAATACTTTACATACTGTATACTGGAAAAAAATAAGGCAATGTTCTAGGAAGCATAAGGAATGAGATATGGATTTGGGCTTAGCAAACCATGAAAAATGATTGATTGGAGAGAAGCAGAAAATGAAAGTGGTGCTTATAAAGTGTCCCATCCTATCGCAAACCTCTTCCTTACAAATTTTCATTGAAAAAAAACAAAAGAAAACAAAAAACAACTTACCGTAAGTTAGAGGTTTGTTTCTCCTGTCTGTACTGCAGAAGTTCTTCCAATAGGAGACAGTTAAAGGAAAGTACCATGGCTCCCTTAATCCAAATCGACCTCAGTGTTAATTATAAGAAAAACAATTGAAACAAATCTTTGAAAAATTAATGACTTTTTCAGCTTCAATATTTTTTATCCTTTTTTTTTTGAAGGAGTTGGGGGAAAGGCAGGAAAACCATACAATATGTTATCTATATTATTGTATCACTTGGATTTTTATCACATGCATTTTTCAAAATGTCTGACCTCATTTTCAAGCTTTGGGGACAACCTAGCTATCACTAATATCAAAAGAAACGTCATCATTGTATTTTGTGTGTGGAAAAGGCATTCTGAAAGTGATTCAGACATTAGTGGGAGAATCCATGTGTAATTAATTACCAGTTTTCTCCAAGATATTGAAGTCTGCCAGTTTTGGTACACTGGAGTAAAAAGTACCATTAATCTCTGACACTGGAGACATTTAGCTGTGGGATCATTCCCTGGCAAAAAAAACAACGGAGTCTCAGAGTGTGAAGTTTCCTGCCAGTGGGCTTCAGAGGAACAGTCCAACACCAAGGCATCACACCCTGCTCTACCACCTGGCTTCGCCTCCCATCCTGCTGGTAGGGGAATTGACATAGGATATGCTCAACTGCTGATGATCCTCCAAGAAATCATCTCACTACACAAAAGAAATACTCAGGATTATTTTTTCATTTTTCAACAGATAGTCGTCAACTGCCAGCATGGGACTCATATATTGTAGCAGAAAGAAGCAGAAGTACAGCTGCACAAGCCAACTCATGTTTGACATTTCTTGACCTTTCAGTGCTTCATATAACATTTGCATTATGTATATTGTTCATGTCTAAGACTGTGGAGCAATAGTATGTGGCATTGAATGGCAGCAACATCCTTCATTATAAGTTAAAGGCTTTTGCTTGAGATTCTGTTACTTAAATTGGCACACCTACTTTTCCATCTTGGGCTTCTATCCTTTTTTCATTTTGAAATAAATATAAAATTAGCACAGCAAAACATGTGATATACAGATGTGAGTGAGTGTAAATCCCAGATGCTCAGAAAAGCAAATTAGAAATCATTCCACGTGCCTCATCCACCAAGTCAAGAACACTCATAAATGTCTGGAGAAATTTGGAAAAATTAAACATCTCAACATTTTCTGAGAATAAACTTGGGATTTAGCTACTCTCAGTTATACAGCTGTGGCCCACAGACATACTTGGGATAGGGAAGCAGGGGGTTAACAAGAAAAAAACAAAAACTAGCTATTTAAATACTGTCCTTTAATGTTTTGAAAAGCAACCTTTTTTTTAAATAAGAGGCCAGATATTAAGACTTATTTAGAGAGAATCTCCACTTAACTCCAATAGGATTTTGCTACTAGATTGGACTCTCTTATTATCAAGTGTCAAATCAGCCCCAGAAGTCCTTACCCAACTATTTGTACTCTTTATAGAGACCAAGACATGATACCACATTACAAATTCCAGCCCATCTGTTAACACTGTTTACTGACCTAGCTATATATGAAATATGTTACGTATTAGTCATGAATTTGGCATGTCAAGGCTCTGACTCTGAGTACTGAAGATTTTTCTAATTGTATTTGAAAGGGGAGGAGGGAATCAATCCATTTTATTAAATTATTAAATCTACAGATGCTGAAAAAGAATATTTAAATGGGTAGCGATTAAAAAAAAAAGCCCTCATTGATCTTACCAGGAATTGTGTTGCTGAAATACCAGCCAGCTATAAAACACATAATTGAGTCAAAGAAAATCATCCAGCATGCCCATCCAAAAGTAATAGATCCTCCTTGTGGCAAGGTCTGGTACATGTTGCTCCACTGAATTCCTAGAAACAGAAAAAAAGATCAGAATTAAATCTATAAAGCACAACAGGTAGGCGGGCCATCAATAGGCCAAGACGAAACACTTAATATACTAAAGCACCGACAGACAAAAACAACGTAGTTAATAACTGTAATTTTAAAAGAATAAACTGTTAGACCTCTTGGTCTCTCTTTGGAACAGCAGGTAACAGGTAACATTACTGCTGAGAAAATGTAAGAGAATTCAGAGTGGCAGGGTTTTTTTTTCCTTTTCAGTTTTAAGTTGCTTTTTTTTTACTGGACTGTTTTGGCAACAAAAAAAGTCCCCAAAATTTCAAATAAAATATGCAAAGGTGTGTGTGTATGCCTGTGTATGTGCATGTGTTCAAAAAAATCAGGCATGTGTGCACATGTGTGCATGAGCATGCAAGAAATCAAGTGCGCGCATGTGTATGTGCACACGCTCACATGCACAATAAATCAGGCGTGTGTGCGCACGCTATTCTTTGGGCGTGCATGCAATAAATCAGGCTTTAGGACAGAATGTTGATACCCATGATGAAATAAGCTTATAAGAGACCTAGAGCAGATTTATTTAGCTGAAACCCCCATATCATAACTAAATGGAGCATATCGTTGTTTATCATTTATATGACAGCAGTGCCTGGAGGTGCCAATCCATTACTGGGGCTCCCAACACTAATCATTTCAAAAAGTCTTATAGTAAGTTAAAGTAAGTAGGAGGAAAGGAAATAAGATATGAATCAATAGAAGTAATTAAGATTTAGACTTGATAGAGCTACTTTATGGCTCAAATTACAAGGTTCAAATAAGTCACTGCATTTTTCCACATAATTTGTCAGAAAGTGGCAACAATGCAACAGAGCAGCTCAGGAAATCCTATGAGGAACATTTTTCATATCTTGAGAAAACCAGAAATTTGGGAAAAGTTTCCCCAGAAATATCAATTTTGGCCCCAAAAAAGCCATTTTTCCTCACAGCAGCAGGGATTTTTCAACTAGATCCACCATACTTCTTAGCTTCCACTTAATTACAACCCCCTCAAACAGCAGCTATGCTTAAGATAATCCAATGTTCTTACTAGGAGAGTTTTGCCACTTATGGCAGAAGAAAGAGAAGACTGAACCTTGGATCAATTACAGAGTTAAAAAAAATCCCTACTCAGGCTGTAATCATGAGGATTTAAAAAAAAAAAAAAAAAAAAAAAGGACCCACCCTTCCCCCCTGGGCAAACTCTGGCTAGTGTCTGGGGCCAGGGATGGGGGTTAAACTTCCCATCCCCTGAGTACAGAGCTGCCTTGCCATGATAAGAATTTACTGCTGGCTGCAACTGTGGACTACAAATGCCAGAGCCACCTGGAAGCAGGAAGAGGAAGCAATGAGCAAGCCTGCAGGGTCCTGCTTCTGTAATTCTGGATTGCAAATCCCAGAGACCTCAGGGGCAGCAGGAAGAGGAAGCAAACACACAGCCCATGCTGGCTACGGGCCAGAGAGCCGTGCTCTAGTGCCCCCCAGTTTCTGGCCTGAGATCCTGCATGCATGTGACTGCATTTCCTGAATCAAAAATGAATGTCTGTCTAGTTGTTTCTCAGTTTAATCCCTGCATCTTAGACTAACCTGCAAAAACTGAATCAATTCAGCCTTGGGGTGTTTGACTGTATGTACTTAGCCCTTGACCGCTGAGATCCCTGGGCTTTGGATCAGGCACAATATAATCTTCCTAACAGATTTTGCACCAATTTGCCTCATCATAATTTCTCAAATACAAGTATTTTCAACAGGTTGAACCCCAAGCACTGCTGTTAACAAGACGACACAATACAAGATTGAAAGTACAGCTTTAATAATTGAGTCACCTCTGAAGGTCCTGATTGTGAATTTCTTAACAAAACAAGTTTACAATGTTTTCCTACAATGTGAACATATTTGAATTACAGAACCAATATAAATTGCCTAAAAATCATCTTAAATTTCAGATTTAATTGAATACATGAAAAGACCACTTTAAATCACCTGAAATGTTGCTTCTGGAAGGCGGGGAGAGATGACACTCATATGGTGCCCAGAGCTCCCCTTTTCTTAACAGTTAAAGTAACTTTCATCCCCAATACTGAATTCCCTGTCCCTTTCATAAAACATTTCCATGGCCAAAACTCCATTGCTGGGATACTGAGAACTCTCTCCAGCAGTAGACCAACACCAGATCAGACCTAAGATAAAGCCGCTCACAGTGCTATTCTGTTAGATGTAATTTGGCTACAGATCTAGCCTTCTGTCTATCTTCACAGTACTGCTACTGGATGAAGATAGCATGGCAGTGGTATAGTGCTACCTAACAACTTCTGAGAACTAATTAAATACTTCAGTTATCTTCCAGTTGCTGAAAAGTATCTGCAATGTTGGGAGTGTGGATAGGGTTTTCCCTGCATCCTGCATTATCAGCCCCTTTCAGTCATTATAGCCTTCCACAATTTAAAGCAGTTTTAAGAGGGGAGAGGGGAAAGAATGTAAGGGCATTATGGGGCTTTTTACACCTTATATTCTGAGTTCAGCTGCTCACTGGCAATCTGATGCTCTTTAGCACAAAGCAAGGGGAATGGGTTTTCACATTTAGCTCTCCGTAAACCATTATTACAAAAGCTTCTAGCTAACAGGAGATCTTACCTATTTCTTGGCCTTCAAAGAATGTAATGAAAAACACCCCTTGTCCAAAGGCAGTTGTAGACAAAAGGCACTGCAACAGTACAAAAGAAGCAGGAAATTAACATGTATAAAACTTCATGAAGAAGCTGAACTAAGTCCAAATGAAGAAACAATGGACCTTTCAGTTCCACATAAGTTAGTGATCCAGCCTTTCTTTTTACTTCTTGAACAATATTTATCTGAATTTTGCAGAAGTACACTCTCAAAGTTAGAGAGCTTTACGGACTTAGGTATTAATATTTGAAGGCATTATTTAACCTTACCACAATTTATGGAGCATCATAAATCCACCACATATTGAAAATATATAATGCATAACAGTGGAAGTATGTATAAAGCAATTTATTTTCTGTAGTAAGTGAATGACCCAGAACTCACAAGAGGCAGAGGCTGATGGAACATACATTGTGTACTGTACGCTGGGCAGGTATTCTACTGCAAGGAAATAACATTTAATTTCCAATGGAGCAATATAAATGGGGCATACTGCATCAGAAAAGCACAAAATGGAAAATGACCAAGTTCAGGGACATAATGTAATAAGAATAGATGACTGATGGTAAATGGAAAAAATCACTGGCCAGCATCTGAAGGCTAATAGAGGAAACCAAATCATTACTATATATTAATAAAATATAAGGCGTTGTGGTATGGGGAAAGTTCTGTCATTTGAATGTGAACTCATAACCAAGGTCTCATGTATTTTAAGATAGTGACGTCCAATGTGGCTGTATCTAGAGCCCTTCCAGTACATTGCCCCACCAAGCCATAGCTATTTCCACTGTACACACCCTAAACCTGGGAAAAAGGCAATAAAGCTGTCTTGGGGACAAGCCCCTGCCACTCCCCTCAAGCACACCAGAAACAGAGTTTGACAGCATTGTCACAGAGGCTTTACTGCCCCGTTTCCAGGTTTGGTTCATGAAAACTGGGAGCAAGAAGGGTTGTGGGAGGTTTGGGGGTGGGTGGGGGGAAGGCCAGTATGCTTCTCAGTGCTCTCTCAAATACCTGGGAAGCCATACAGGTATCCCCTTATGTTTCTGCAGCATTTCATGCCCTGGGAATGAATCCTTTCAGGTACCTAATATGAAAAGTAAGGGCAACTGTCCCACTCCCAAAAAATAAAGTAGCCCTTTAACCTGTTTAGACCCCAATCTTGCAGTGGCGTATCATTATGCCAGGAGTGGCCAACACATGGCACAAGTGGCACAGGCAACTGCTGTGTGTGGAACAAGAACCACACTTATTGTTCATGAACATAAAGTTACTTGATCGCCTTTGCTTACTTTTATCTAATATATAATGTGTGTATACACCTACCCTAGAATCAAAGAGCAGTAAGTTGGACATCTAGGTTATACTATTTGTTTCTCTGTAATTATGGTATTATTTAAATTGTTTCTCTGGTTGTATTAAAATATTTAATTTATTGTCACAGCATTAACAGGAAGTTAATGGTGTGCAAAACATTAAGTACAAATTCAAATACAAATGACTTCTAAAAGTTACTGAGATTATATCTGAAATATACATCAAAAAGAGAATTGTTTGCCTAAACTATTTCTGTTTCTATCCTTACTTTAATACTTAAGACATTTATTGGCCTAAACTCATGTTGTTATTAATCCAAATTACAGAACCTTCTTAATCCTTCTGGGCCTCAACAGAAGTATCACAGGCTCCTACCTGGGTCTAATTCTGAATTCTTTACACAGGTTTTGTATGATCTTCCAAGAATACTTTCAAACTAGAGGGTTTTCAAGTTCAGTATTAAGTAAGTTCTCTCTGGGGTTTATTCTGTCATTTATAGAAGACTTGGTGTATAAATGCATGAGAAGAGTCTTCTGAAGTAGATGTAGTCTTTTACATTAAATAAATACATTAGGAGGAAACCGGACAAGTGAACGTAAGTGTGATACTGATTCACAAAATGCTTTCTGAGCAAGTATACTGATTCTTAAAACAGAAATTTCAGGAGAATAACCACTAGGAATGTGCAAAGCAGCTAATATTCACTTTGGATTCGGTCGATTTGGGGGACAGTGATTTGATTTGGTGATTTGAATCACTGTCCCAAATTAATTCAACTGAATCTGATTCATAGATTCGACCATCACTGAATCGACCAAATCTCCAAATCAAACAGGCCCCATCCCTGCCCGCTCTCCCAGCCCTGTCAATGGCTGCCCTGCCCGGCCCCAGCATCCCAGCACTTAATAAAAAAGCCCTGTTGCCTGGCAGGAGGGCAATCCCTGCTGCCCCACACTGCCCTGTGCTGCGTGGGAGGGCTCTGCCACAAGCCCCAAGAAGTCCTGAGGCTGCTGCAGTGAGTGAATGGTCAAAGGATGGGGGATCATGGCAGAGCCCCCCACACAGCAGGGGCAGTGGGGGACAGCAGGGATCGCCCCCCCACCCCACCCTGGCATCATCCAGTGAGTGTGGGGCTTTGTTTTCTTTTTTCTTTGAAGAGCTGGGACGCCGGGTCCAGGAAAGCGGGAGGGGGTTGGTGGGTACTCAGAGGGACTGGGGGAGCAGGCAGGGGATGGGGCCTGGCAGGGGTCCCCCCATGGTCCCCTCCCCCCTCCTCCAGTGCCCCCCCACCCTACTTACTGGCATGGAGTCCAGGTCCAGCTCCCTGCAGTGGTGAGCAGGGACTACTCATATCTCTGAAACTTTCCAAATCTTTTCCAAATTGATTCAGACCTTTTTGTTGGTGTCCTGATTCAATTCAGATTCAGAGATTTGGCCGCTGAATCAGGCCGAATCTCCTCTGAATCAAATCAGCACTCGAAGCTTTGCACAGTCCTAGTAACCACCATCACCATAGCTCAGTCCATAACAAAAACATGTATGACAAAACTGCTCAGCAGAATATAGCAAAACTCCAACCAGATAATATGGTAACTAGTTAGTGGATAATTACCTGACTCCTATTATTATCCTGTCTGCTAACGTACAATTATTCCACTGTATTTTTAACAAAATTTAAGATAACATCTTACACATTTCCACAGCACAAACAATATCTGTAAAAGACACAAAGTGCAGCATGTATTCTTATACTCTTTTTCTGTAGTTATATTTTAAACATGAGTGATTTCTACCTTTCACTAAGTTTATACTAGTTTTCCTGTAAAGAAGTAATGTTTTTCCTCAGATGGAGTGCCATCCCTTTTGTGGATGGCATTAATTTTTCATGGTATTCTTTTGTGTAAAAAAGAAAAACCGTGTATTTAAGAATGTATCTTTTTCCATCATACATGCAGCATTAGGAACGTAGAGCCTTATGCTCTTTATTGGGTTCTGTCAATTCTCTTGAACATTCACTTTCTGATTCCCTTCTGTTGCATTCAGAGTGGTATTTCTTGGCTAGTTTCCCATCAAGGAAAGCTATGCAGTTTCAATGAGATATAAGCCCAAATAAGAATCTACAGACAAAGTAAGGGAAGGGGTGTTTTTTGTTTTTGTTTTTTTTTATAATGGCCATGAATGATGAAAATGAATAAAACAACTTTAAAAAAGAAAGAAAGAAAGAAAAAAGTACTTACAGCAATGATCTGGTTGGCAAAACTCAGTTGGTTCTGCAAAACCAACAAAACTATGTAGGGTAAAAAACTTATCATATACACAAGGCTGGCACTGAGGGCTGCTGTATTGGCACTGCTAAAAAATGCACCCATCAGGTAGCTTAGCATAACAACTGCAACTCCAAAATCAAGGAAGAAGAGGAAGATGAGGAAGCTGTTGCTGTAAGCAAAGATGCCGCTCACTTTTAAAATGATCACCAGAGTGCAGCTGCTTATAGCAAGTACAGCTATATTCTCCAGAAACCAGGCTAGGAAATGAATGGATGGGTGCACACCCATTGTCTTCATATACTGCAAAACCAAAGAAATACCTTACAGTTAATATAGAGCTCTTAAAATTTAAGTAGAAGAGAGACAGCAAGAGACATTCTCCCCAAAGATCACAGCTGTATTAACTTCACCCTTGTATTAACAGTATATGGGATAAGAGTGAGACCCGATAAAACATTCTGTTGTTCTTTTCTTTTTTTTTTTAAGTTATGGCTCTCTCCTGATGACATTTGCTTTTGAGCATAATGTAGATGAGCAGGAGGAAGACCAATGAGCCTAAAAGGCCTACTCATGTTCATGGGCATAATGTTTGTTTGCAAGTATTTACAGCATCAGACTCTTAAATTGTAACAGCCCCTGAAGTGGGAATCTCCCCCTTTTATGCTTAAAACTACTCTGTGCATCTTCGGCATGAAAAAAACAACAGTAATAAAAGATAGCATAATATAACCATAATAATGGAAACCTGTGAACAATCAGAATGACAAAAACTAAAAGAGCCCTGCAAAAAAATTATAATATCGTGCAAATATGAAACACTCCTATGCTTCATTTTTTTGTTTTTCTCACTAAAGTTAAAGTATCTGAAAAGAAAATGTGCCATTTTAACAAACATGGTAACATTTACAATTTTCCTTCTTGCAGAGCTTGCAGTAGAATATGGACTAAATTCTTCCATTCTCAGCTTCTGCATAGGAATCCTCATGAAAGCAGATATTAATGACACCACATACCTCCAAGACCACCACTTAAAAAAGCACTAGCCGAACTAAAATAGTATTTTTATATTATGTTTCAACCAGAGTAAAAGGCATTTTGCAGACATAGTGAATTAATATTTAAAACACCCCTGTAAAATAAATGGAACCCTCTTTTAGACACAGGGAAAAACCAGTCTAAAAAGTTTAGATAATTTGCCAAAGTTCAACAGCAAGTCAGCAGCAGAATGAAGAACAGCACTTGGATTTGTGGGATAGAAATGGTACTACATCTACACAGCATCTACATAAGGTCCCAGTTCTGCAAGATACTGAAGACAGGGTGTGAACTCCCATAGATGCTACCTTCAATGAAATAACATGTTTTCCCTCTGTGCACTTCTCCTGTAAAACTCTGAAGAATACTGTTCAGAGCCATTTTTATTTAGTTCAGTGAAAACTATCACACTGTAAATGCATGTATGTTTTCTCAAATAGACTGTCTTTTCTTGTTTGTTTTTTCTCCTACTCTAAAGAAAGGTCATGCTGATTGCTAGTATATAGTTACTGTTTGAGAATGGATAAACATACCATCAGCTGAAGGCATACAGCACCTAGGAAGATTGGGATCTCTGTTGACAAGACTGGTTTTAAAGAAAGGTTCTCAACTTTATATTTTACAGTGTTTTCAATTGTTGCTCTCCTTTGTTTCAGATATAAATCTCCACACAGCAATGCGAAGCTCAAATTCAAAACAACATCCCTGTGAATCTGAGCTGGCAGGTAGAACTCAGGCTCACAGCTCAAAAGAAGAAAATAAAAAATAGAGCAGTTTTATAAGTACACAAAGCCATCTCTCAAAGATTTTTATTGTCGCCATTGTTTTTAGTCTTTAAGGACACCTTTGGCAAACTCATTTTACACTAGGTCCACTAATTCTTACCTCCTCAAGACAAATTTCTCTCTCATAAACCAGTTTCCGGACCATGCCAGCAACAGATACCATCCATGTTAGCATCATTATGAGTGGGAAAAAAAACCCTATGTTGTTCAAGAATCTGAAATCACAAATATATTTGTCAACACCTAAAAGATGAAAGACAATTATATAGATGTTAATATCCATACAGTGTTATTCAGAACATATACATAAAAGAATAATGTATGGCGTGTGTTAAACATTCACTTTAACTCAGGTCTAGAAATACTTTTTGCTGCTACTAGGTAAATATATGTATTATAATTTAACAGTAACAGTAGAACCTTTATATTGCCTCTTTGAAATGAGGCTCTATTTACAGTGAAATATAATTACTGAAGTATATTTCAATGTGTTATTTCCAAATGAAAATACTGAAAGTGCTTGACATATTATCAGCTTTGCAGCATTGCTCTAGTAGGAAGTATTCCTCACCTTAATGTTCACTATTTGCATTCTCATCTTTTGGTTTTAGTGACACTTATCTTCTGCATATATAAACCACATACTGAATCACCACATGTACATAGTGTCTCCTCCCTCCAATCCCTTTCCCTCTATATACAATTATTTTTTTCTGACAGTCCATTCATTACACCTGATGAAATAGGTTGTTGCCTACAAAAGCTCATGGCTGTCTGAACCAGTTATTTTACGGTGCCACCCTACCCTCACTTCTGCCTAACTTCAGACTAACATAGCTAACCCCCTCTGTGCTCCTCGAAGGCACTGTGCCCAACTGAATAAAAATGATTCTAATCAATCTGCTCAAGAAACTTGCTCGGGTATCTCAAATGTCTTCTTTCTAATCAGATACCAGTCAGATGAACCAACCAGTTGTAACCCAGCTACACATTTGATCAGTTAAATAGCATGACAAAACAAGGAATAAGCCACACAGTTATTTTACAAACAACATGTAATAACTTTGTGGCTCATTGTTATCACAGCATTAATTGAACGTGTGGCCATGTGCTCCCCTGTGGCTGGGTGCCCCAACAGCAGACAAGGCTCCCAGCTGTGGGGGTACACCATGCACTGCCATGGATGCAAGTCCTGCAGCTAATGGGGCTCACAACCATAGGAGCACTCCATGTGCTGCCACCATTGGGCTCACAGATACAGCAGTGCATAGGGCACTCCTGCGATTGCAAGCTCTGTCACCTATAGGACTCCCAGCCACAGGAGTACATGGGGTGCTGCAGCAGCTGCAAATCCCATCAGCTGTGGGGTCCCAGCCACAGAAGCTTGTTACTTGTCAGCGCAGAGAGAGCCCGGGATGACAATAAACCATGACAGGATCTGCAGCCCACAATCATGCCTCCTGCCATACACAAGTGATCCTAACTTGCCTTTACCTGAACGTCTGGCAGGGGCCCAAAAGACTCCAGGTGACCAGGCCACATTGTTCTACATACCACACAGCCTATTCTGAAAAGATGTACTTTATTCTCTCAACGAAAAGGAGGAACTGCCTCTGCAGGGTCTTATACAGCAAACAGGAATAAATTAGCACCAGACTCACAGAACTAACAAGCAGACCATAGAGTCACCCAGATATAACAGACATTTTCCTACCACAAACACGTCTAACTTGTTAAAGAAGATGAAGGAAGAACAATCTTCTACACTCACTCTTCAAAAACAATAATACAGTCCACATCAATATCATCAACCTATCAACCCACACTCTCAGTCCCCCTAAGTGCTCTGGGCTATCCCATCATCTTTTCTTCTGCTCTCCTACACAGTTCAATAAGGTGCAGCTTTATGAAGACCTTTTGGGCTTTCTCCATCAGCTACAACTAAGGGAATACCTCCATGACAAAAACAACACACCACAGTCCTGACCCTTACATGGCACAGTTATAGGACCCCACCTGGACTTTGCTCAAGGTCTGGAGCCTAATCAAGACCTTTACATGAACTGTCTCTACCTTCACACCCATTCTGAGATTGCCAAGAACAAAACATGTGTACACTGCAAGTCCTGTACATTGAAGAGCCATAGTTAGATTTCAGACTAACAAAGCTAACCACATCTGCCTCATCAGGGTGCTATACACCTCATGCTCAGAAACAGATTTTCATCTGCTGCTCAGACGTAGAGGGAGATAGGAGTACAAAGCTTTGGTCCCTGATTCTATTTGGCGGAGATTCAGCCCAATTTGGTGGCTGAATCTCTGAATCAAATCAGAGGACCCTTTAATTTCTCCAGATCAAATTGGAACCCTCTGAATTGATTCACAGAAATTTGGAAAGAGTCAGAGATTCAGACATAGACACAGCTTTAAATGTTTTTTCTACATAGCTCTAGGTAACAGGCAGCTCATAAATGCTGCGATGGTGGGATGGATGGAGCATCCCAAAGAAGCTCAGGGGACTTCCCAGCATGCTCAGCAGCAGACCTGAAAGTGAACCAAAAGTACTTCCGGTCCACTTCCATGTGCTGGGGGGCCTCCTGGGTCTGGGGGGGGGCACCTGGGGTCCCCCTGTGGCCGATTGCTGAGATGGGGGGGTGCAGAGGGGCTCCAGAAGACCCAGAAGTAAACTGGAATACTTCTGGTCCACTTCTGGGTTTGCCCCTGAGCACGTGGAGGACCACCCCCCCTGCACTCCTGTGGGACACTGCGTGGGCCCCAGCATTCACAAGCCATGCTGGTACCTCAAGGTATGTAGGAAAAACTTTTAAAGCTGTCTATGTCTGAATCACTGATTCTCTGAATCAGCATCGAATCTTTGGATTCAGCTAAATCAAATCAGAGACAGTGATCCGAGTCAGCAAAGCGAATCACTGTCCCCGATTTGGGTCGAATCCAAATCAAATAGGACCCACTTCACACATGCCTAATAATCGAGTTGGTTCCAAACCAGTTCCCAGCCCTATTGGCATTTTGAACACTAGCTGATAACAGCTCTTACAAGGCCATCTGCCCAGGTTAAGATGTCACAGTGAGTTGCTGCTGTACTTGTTCCCTCCCAAATATTCTCTTCTGGGAATCGCAAAGTGAGATCCACCAGAACCAATCATGCTGGTTCAATGCCTTATTGGGGCAACCACCAGGTAGAGAAATACAACAGGTTTCCAGGGAATTTCTTGGGACAGTTCAGTCAGATCACAGCTAAACTAATGCCACTTAAGGTTCAAATGAGCAAATTTACTTACAGGTCACTTGTGTGGCATGGATACGGCATAGCTTGCACTTGTATTTCTGGCTCTGAAGCATCAGTTCCAGCATGCACTGAAACAATTGCACTTTCAATCATGTCTTGCAGTGGAATGAAGATGTGGTTGTATTTGAATCCATCAGCTGGCAGGTTCTGCGGGTGGAATTTCCACAATGGGTTTTTAATCAAATCTGTTCTCATGCTGAACAGAACACTGGTCCGGACTGTATATGAAATGTGTGGAGGAAGGTAATCTGTGTTTGCCTTGTTGTCTGATGCATGGAATATGATGCCTGTTACAAGAAAGGAAAATACAGTAAGGTGTTTCACAGATTTAAATGACCACAGTCTCAGAGTCCTGTATTTTGTGCACCCTGCAGTACAAATTCTAGTCTCAGGTCCCCAACTTTCTACCTTATTTCTGAAGGTAATCAATAGCCAATCAAATCATTTTATGACACCTACCCATTTATAAAAAGTTACTGTCTACCTGTAAATAATATGGATGCATAGTTTATCCAAAGAGTAGCACTGCATTTTAAGCCACTTCTACTGCAACCCTAGGATTCAACACAGTGGGATTCAAACCTTGAAATAGGAACTCCTTCAAGTCTCTACTAATCACCCAGTGAATTTCTTTTCTTGAAAATTACTAGGTGATGTTTTGGAATATTAAACATAAATACAATGAAAGAGCTCATTCTTTTTCCTCCACTTCTAAGATTTGAAACTGACTCAAAATGGCATTTTTTTCTTTAGCCCAAAGAGAAATCGAGAGTAAAGCACTTCTGTATTTTGACCTTTGAAATTTCTTCTCCACACTTCCTCTACTTTTATCTAAAATTTCTGTAGTTGCTGCAAGAAAACTTAGCCTGCCTATACACATGCTCCAATGCATTCTAATTAGAACACTCTAGCATCCCTGCCATGTCAAGTGTATTAAGTCCCCCCAGCCACATTTCAACATGGCCATGGGTCACTTTAACTACAACTCACTGAATGAGCTTTAGGTAAAGCATCCCGCAGCCATTTTTAAACATGTGAGGGCTTAATACACATGACGCTGTGATGTTTTTAATTCAGCAAATCTCCAGGAACTGCTCCAATTAAAACGCCCCCTTCAACCATATGTATAGGCAGCCCTTATGATCCTAAACATTGCAAAGTTCCCAATACATTTGGCCGCCTAAAAATTATACTCCCTTGAATGGGGATCAGAAGACTGTACCTCTGAGGCAGACCTTTATTCTTCCACCAAGTGGGTGGAGTCACTGCTCCTATACAGCACTAGCATGGCAAAATAAATGTTTTTTTTATTTTCATCTTAACTTCAGGGAGAGTGGGTCAATCCTATTTCTGAATCATGAGAGATGAAGTCAAGTACAGGAACAGGAGACTAAAGCTTCTCCTGCCCCTACTCCTCTGACACGTTCCTTCTGGATAAATGGTAGAAACACATTTGCCATTCTTGTTTGAGAAGCAAAGCTGTCTTCATTTTTATTATAAAGGGCTGTGCATTGAAAGGAACCCAGATCATCTTCGTTTCTGAGGAAAGAAATATTCTTAGGACATTTTAGTCTATCCTTTCATATTTTTTTAAGCTGGCCAAAGATTAAAAAACAATTTCCAATTTAGGGGAAAACTTAATACCCCCTGCCACCCAAGAAGATTTAGAAGTTGCCAAATATTTTTCAAAAATTAGTTAAGAAAGCCAAATTTCAGTTGTACATCATTCACTAAAAAGGAAGATGTGCTTAGATCAGATGATGTAACAGAGAAGTACTGCACAGATTACCCTCATAAAAGGAAGGCAATCATCTTCAAGTTTTCAGAAAGCTTTGAACCTATTTTCTTGAAGGCAGGCAAGATACTAGCTTGCATGGAGCCTCTAATACAGGAGAAGCAGCAAGATAAAGCTAAAATGTGAGTAGTCAAAATTAGCTTCCTTTGGTTCAGAACCTGACAAACGTGTTGCAGGAAAGGTGCAAAAATCCTTTGCCTGTCTCCCTTGTGGCTCCTACCTCCCTCTATTTCTGAGCAGAAGATGAAAATCTGTTTCTGAGCATGACAGAGCAAGGTCACGTAAATATATATGTGTGACAGAACAGGCAATAAAAACTCCAAAGTACTGGTCTGATGTTTTGCACTGCCCCAGATTTTGACTGATATTAATTCCTACATCTATTGGACCCAATTTCCCTTAAAAATCACCTTTAGGGTACAGACATGCAGCACATTTACTCCACTGTAATTTGACTTCACTCCAGGGAAAAAGCGAAAAGTGGAGTGGATACACAGCACACAGCCTTATAGGCACTCTGTTCCCTTTGGAAAATGGCTATGTATCCTCTCCCTAGTCAATTTATCCTAGAGTAGATATTTGCTCAATACAAACCGGCATCTCCTTCCTCCTCAGCTGTGAATAGACATCTCGACTGTCCCAGAAGAAAGCCTTCTGTCCTGGGATCCTACAGATGTAAAAGTCCGCTGTCCTGTTTTAAGTCCTTTTGAAGTATGTGGGATAAAATGTGCTAACACTTTTTCATGAGACATGGTTGTATGAATCTAAGTTTATTGTGGGTAATCTCCAGGACAGGCCAGCTAGGTTGTGCGCTCTCACTGAGAAGAAGCAATTCAGCTTGGAAGGGCAACCAATGTAAATGGCTGTGCCAAGCTTGTTTTTTTCCAGCTCAAATGCCAGGGCAATTAGACCCATGTCAAATGAGACATTATTTAAAGCCTTAGTGGCCAGGCACTTTATTTGTGCCTACTGCAAGCAGTTAGTTTGGCAGAGCTGGCTGCATATCTGCTCCGTATTAAGAATTAAAATCCAAAGCTTATAATCTACAGTAATCATGTTGCATAAGTATATCCTAAGCCCTGGAGACTTCAGCACAGAATTTACCAGGAGTCAGAAATGATAAAATAAACAAAACTATGGATGAAATCCTAGCCCCAGTTAAATCTGTGGCAAGGCTCTTTTGGCATCAACAGATCCAGGACTTCACCTTTCTATTTAGCAAGAGCAACATATGCCCATGCAACTCAGGCAGGAATAGGAAGCTTCTTAAATAGTAAAATAAAAGAAAGAAAAAAAGAAAGAAAGGAGAGAAAGAGAGAAATCACTCTTTAGCACAGTAGATAGCTCTCCTGCAGCAAGGAGGATTTTCAAGAAAGAGGTATAGAGACAGTCATCCTAATGACCAAAATCACTAAACTTACTCTGAGTAAATGATCCAATTCAAAAGTTAGCTTCTATATCAAACATGACTACTAGAAAGATTAATTTTCATTTTATTTTGTAAATCCAGAAGACAGAAATTAAAAATTAAAAAAGTGCTGCCTATACACATTCTGGGGGCGGTTGCATGTTAACTCCAGCAGTTCCTGGAGAGCCACTCTAATTAAAATGCCTCAACATTATGTGTATTCAGCCCCCATGGGTTTAAAAATGGCCATGGGATGCTTTATTTGAACACCATTCAACAAGGTTTACATAAAGCACCCCTGTGGCCATTTTTAAACACGTATACACATGACACAAGCTGGAGCATTCTAATTAGAATGTGGAGCAGACTATTAATTTCATTAGAACATGAACCAGCACATTTATAGGCAGCCAAAAAGGTGAAAACTTGGGTGACCTTGTCTTAAAAGAATAGCTACTATCTTCATTTGGCTGGTTTGGGAGGGTTAGAGATCTTGGCATTCTTTCACCTCATTGCATTCTAGCTGTATATTACATATTTGTTGTTCCAAGTATAATATTTATTAGGTATACATGACTCTGGGGATTCATTTACTAATGTTTCCACAGTTACAATAGCAACATCATTAGCTTTCATTACAATGTTCAAGATTCAGAGGTGTATTTGTACCAAGCAAATGTGCTTGTGATTATACCATATTTATATTTTAAGCCATGTATTCATAGCTGCTGAAGCACTACAGCACCCTCTTACAAGGAAATATGGGACACAACAGGTCTATGAAGTCTGAGGTTTCCTGTCAATATGTATGTTAAATGAGGTACTTACTAGCCAAGAAATTGTTTTGTTGCATGAGCTCATGAGCCTTTGCCTCCAATTTCTCAACAGACTCTAAAGGCTGGAAACGATCCAGTAACACACAGGAGGAGATATTTACCATGAGCTGTGACAACAGGTCAATCTGCTCAATCACTGAGTTGTTGAGCATCTTGTCCATCATAGCCTCTGAGCAGAGTAAACAAATTGAAAACTATTGGTTTCAGTACAGCATGCATAAAACAGAGCCATTCATTGTGCAGTATGAATATACTACAGAAATAGAACATTTTTTGTAAGGAAAGAAGGAAAGAAAGAATCAATTAAGGACAGAGATTTCAAAAGCACCTAGGAAATTAATAAGTACAAGTACAAGCTTGTGCTTCTCTACATTATTTAGGTGCTTTGAAAAAAATCTTTCCCTGAATTCACATTCCATTCCAGACTAATGATGATATTATGTGTGTCCAATTCCAGAAGGAAGACCCTGTTCAGGAAAAAACAGTAAAAGTTTAGATGCTTGACTCAGCTCTGTTGGTACCAATTCCATCTCCTGACGTGTGAGAGTAGCTATACAGAAGAGTAATTCTGGTCTGGTAAAGACAGGAAGTTTCCACACAGGCAAATTTGAAGTTCACATAAGACTTCCTATGAGTCATAGGTGAGAGTGTCATTGTACACTTCAGGAATCGCAGGGTTATCCTTCATCCCCGCAGGACACCAGAAACTGCATGTAGATCAGCCATTGGCAGTCTGGGCTTCATATTTTAAAAAGTACCTAGGCCAAATTTCCAATTCAAAACCACTTTGAATGTTTTGCTCCAGATCTAGATCTGAGATTCAGGACTGGCCTTTGTCTGCACTTGCAGTTAAACCCGGTTCTCTCAGCCTTTGCCAAAGTTCAGGTCCGCATCCATTTTTCTGTGGTTTGTGCTAATCTCCAAGTATATCTGAGATAATGTTACATTACAAGACAATGTGAAATAAAAACAATTCTTGCTACATTTATGTAGAATAGAAACCTGTGGATAAATTCTCCCAGATCTACACATGTACTTGATCATTCATGTTACTTTAGGCAGTCAAGAGTAGGTAGGGGAGGTTTCCAAACTCCTTAAGATTTTTCAAGAAACAGTTTCATAGCTAGTAGGGTCGGAAGGGACCTGAGCAGATCATCAAGTCCGACCCCCTGACATGGCA